TCTCTCTCTCTCTCTCTCTCTCTCTCTCTCTCTCTCTCTCTCTCTCTGTATGTCTGTCTCTGTCTCTCTCTCCCCACCCCCCACCCCCATGAGAGGAAGATAAGCTGTAAGCCTCTGGATGAGAAGAAAGTCAGCATGTGCTGCGCTGTTACCAGTGGCCTTATCTCACCAGACTACCATAGGAATGCATGGAGATGCTTTTGTCTCTGTATTTCTTTCCTAGTCTTAGGTGAGGCTGGTAACTTTGCATAGCCCTCCCTCACTTAAAGGCAATTCACTTGCATGTCATGTCATGACGTCACCTTCCTGACGTCACGGTCCTCTTTGAGAACAAACAACAACAACGGCAATTTGGCCCTCTTTATTGGTCTTAGGTAAAGGCGTATTGAAGACAGAATTGAATCCAGCCACTAAGTGACCTGTTTGACGCAGCGCAGCATCCGACTGACATCAAGGTCAACAGCTAAGAAGCAACTTGTCCTCTGGCTATGCCACACCGAGAAGTGAATTTAGTGAGAGGAATATCTGTAGTCACCACTTAGAGTTGGAGCTCATAATGTGGAAATATTTTTTGCCAAACAAAATGTACAATGGGCATCATGTTGCTTGCCTTCTCAATGTGTGGGGGCGGAGCAGGAGAGAGAGAGAGAGAGGGAGAATTTGGAACTGAAAATTAAAATAAAAAAAAAAGTCCGAGCCCATTCTTCTCAGGAACCAAGGTAGGAGAAAAAGTGCTCTGATTTGAGGGGGGTAATGCTCTGTAACAACACTTTAAGTTTGAGTCCACTCTACCCAGGGACAGAGGTTTAGAGGGAAGAATATGCCCCAGTTCAGGGGGATATGTTTGTACTTTGATCTTGCTGTATCTTTTTCTTTTTTTTTTAATTTTGAGAGGCAATCAGGGTTAAGTGACTTGCCCAGGGTCACACAGCTAGGAAGTGTCAAGTGTCTGAGGCTGGATTTGAACTCAGGTCCTCCTGACTCCACCTCCAGCGCTCTACCCACTGGACCACCTTGCTGTCCCTTTTCTTGCTATCTCTTTTCGGTAGATATCCTTTTGTTAATTGGTTGTCAATATCTGAAGGAGATATCAACTGGTCATGATTATACTGGGGAGCCAATCACTGGTTAGGTGACATAGAAAATATGTTAAAAAATACGTTGTAGAAAAAACTGGTTGTTGACATGGAGGGTAATACACAAAAATGATAGCAGTAGAAATTCCCCCCCCCACTCCTCAGGGAACCCCTAGAACTCTGGCTGGAGCCTTACTCTGAGGACTCAACCTGCCAAAGGAATTGGCATTGGGATAAGGACCCTGAGAGCCTGTATGTGTCAGTGAGTGAGTCTGTAAGTAAGTCAGTCAGTAAGATCTGAGTTCAAATCCAACCTCAGACACTTACTAACTGTATGACCTTGGGTAAGTCACTTCACCTCTCAGCCTCATCTGAGGTGAATCACTTATCCTCTCTCAGTTACCTCATCTGTAAAGTGGAGATAATAATAGAATCTACCTCCCAGGGTTGTTGTAATGATCGAATAAGATAATAATTGCAAAACACTTAGCACTATGGCACATAGTAAGTGCTATATAAATGTTAGCTATTATTAAACTTAACCAGTGAGAGGAACTAAACAGTATCTTTGGGATTATTCTTTGTAAAATGATAATATATAATTATGTAATAATTATATAATGGTAATATATAATTAAATATAATAATAATATAAATGGGAATATATAATGATGTATAATACAATGTTCTTTGTATAACTACAAAGGCAGAGGCCTTCCTGACTTCAAGTCTAGCTCATCATTCATTGAATCATCGTGGTGGCAGACAGTGACTGGGGTAGAAACTTTGTGATGACAATAACGAGAATCTTTCACGTTCACATAGTATTTTCTGTTCACCAAAGCACTTTCAATCTATTACCTCACTTGAAATTTGCAATGACTCTGGGTAATAGAGAAAGGCAGGGGTTATCATTCTCTTATTACAGATAAAGAAAAGATGTGGTTCAGAGAGGGTAACCGATTTGTGTGAAGTCACACAACTATTCTAGGCTCAGATGCACTGGTTCCCAATCCAGTACTCCTTCCACTAAGTGAGGAGGCCTGATGCAACATGTGGCATTACCAGTAAAGCTGTAACACTCAAACGCAAGGACATCTGTTTTGCCTCCTGCTCCCTGGGGCTCCCTCTTTCCCTCCCTTCCTCCCTCCTACTGAAGATGCCACGTGCCAGGAGGAGATCTATGCCAACAGACACATAGGGAGGAAATGGGCCAGCGCCCAGCAATGCTGAACATTTTCCAGGAAAGCTTCCAGGAAACCATTCTCCATCAGCTCTAGGACTCTGTGTCTCCAGCGGAAATTACCTGGTTTCCTTAGACCATCCCAATCCCTCTTAGCCCAAGGAGCCTCAGGATTTGACCTTGTTTGCCCCCTTCTCCCAGGGTCCCCTCAGAGGAAGAGGTCATATAGGGTGGCAGGGTGGGCTGAGGGTATAGGGACTCCCAATCTGTACTTCCTCCAGTTAAAAAGAAGAGACTGAGATAACATAGAAGAGACCTGGATTTCAGGAGGAGAGAGCCTTTTTTAGCCAAGGAAACTGACTTCTGGATATATCTCTATCCTAGAAGAAAAGTGGCAATTATTTATCCCCGAAATCAAGTCCAAATGAAGGGCTATCCATCCTCAGAGCCCAAAGATTCTTGTGAGACATCACCCTAAATGGGTCTATTAAAGCTGGAAGTTAGAATTCCCTGAACCAAGCAAAGTCAGTTATAGGACTTTTGGCATCTTCTGAAATTTTCATTGAAGAAGAGAAAGATCAAACTAGGCTTCCTGGAGGAGATGGCGCCTGAGCTGGGCCTTGAAGGAAGAGTCTGATTTTAATGGAGAGAGGGAAAAGTTATTGCAGAGTCAGAGAAAGTTGTGAATAAAGGAATACAAGCAGGGAAAGGGCAAGAAATGTTTGTGGACATGTGGGTCAAATGTGGTACGTAAAGAGAAGGGATGGCAATATAGGGAAAAGGGGAGAAAAGGCAATGGCAGCACTGTAAGGAGAGAAAAAATGATGAAAGGAGTGGAGGAGGTAGGAAAGAAGGGAGATAGCCATGAACAGAAGAGAAGAGAAGGAAAGAAAGAAAGCAACTAAAAGAGAGAAGTAGAAAGTGGAAAGAAGAGAAAATTAATGTATGCAAAAAGGAGAAAAATGACTAAGAGGGAGAGAATGAATTTAATACTAGAAACCATATCACTTTTATTGAGTTGAAAATCACTTAAGTTCATAAAATAGCCTCACTGCTCTGGGAAATCAATAAATGTTTATATTAAGTTAATGATTTTATTTTACTTACTGCCTGTTGACTCAGTAAAAGTTTAATTGCTTAATTGGCTGGGTTGTGGAGCCAGTTTTCACAAAGGGGCCACAACTCTAATTAACTTGGGGACTGTCCCAGCTATGGATTACAAAAAATCCTGTCTCCTCTTCCTCCTCCTTTACCTCTTCCTTCTCCTTCTCCTCATTTTCTTCCCCTTCTTCCTGCCTGCCTGCCTTTGGACCATTTCTCAGCCCACCATGTTAAGAGAGGGAAAAGGAAAAGGAGGTAAAAGGCATTATATTTTGTTCTCAGGCTCAGCTAAACTCATCTCAAAATGAAGTTTCCCTCCTGACATCCCTGTGGACAACCTGGACTGATGTGGCCTGGATGAGAGCCCAGTTAGGTGGATTCCTAGATGACTGAATGGGTGTACCCAAAATGTTGATTAATGGACCTCTATCAACAAGGAGGGAAGTCCCTCATAGCAGCTCCAGGCCTCAGGCTTGGCTCTGTTTAGTTGAACTTTGTTATCAATGATTTGGATGAAGACACAGAGTGAGTGCTTATCAGATTTGTGGATGACCCAGAGCTGGGTGGGAAGGCTAATTTGTTGGAAGACTATATCAGGATCCAAGAGAAATCTCAGCAGACTTCAGTCCTGGGCCAAAACCAACAAGATGAAATTTCACAGGGAGTGAGATAAAGTGTTTCACAAGGACAGGATGGGGGAGGCCTTTTTTGACGGCAGTCCATGGGAACGAGAGCCGGGGGTTGAGGTGATTGCAATCTCGGTATAAGCCAACAAAGTGATGAGGGAGCTAAAAAAGCTCCTGTGATATCGGACAACATGAACAGAACTCTAATATCCAGAACAAGGGAAGCAATAGGCACCCTGCTTTTTTTACTCATTGGACCCCACGTCTGGAATTCTGAATACCCCATTTTAAGAGGATCATGGGACGCTGGCAAGCTGTCTCACATCAAGAGCAGGGGAATTAGGATGGTTAAAAATCCCATCCCATGAGGACGGCTTCCTCTCTAGCTGTTGCAGTGATTCAGATCCAGGATGCCCTCAGTGCTCTGCTACTGGCATTGGTCCTGCCTACCTTCCTCATCTCATTCTACCCAGACAATGCCTCTCAGTGTGGTGATTACAGCCATATCTGCCCAGGTTGGCCATGCTTATTGTCCATCCTCCTCAGATCTATCACCTTAGTCCCCTCCATCTTCCTTTCTTTGGGGCAAACATCCCACAAATCCCTCACGT